GAAAAACTAGTAGAATTTCAAGAACAAGTCATGACTAAGTTAGGAATGTACGCCTGGTTGATTTTCTCATCTTCTCAGGGATAATTTTTTTCAAAGAAATGCGGTCACTTTCGTGGATAAAGCACCTTACTCCTAAACACCTAAAATTCGAACTAATTCCCAACAAACATAAAAACAAAACAAATGAGCGAATAGAGCAGAAGAAGTGCTCACAAAAGATAACACCAGTTGATATAAAACAATAGCGTTTCAGAGGAAGAATTTCAATTTGAAAATTGCCATGGCTTATCGGTCGGCCAATTCGAAAAGAAACAGGGCAAACCTTTTTCGGCAACCTAAGGGTGGAATGTTCAGAAGAGGTCATGAGTAAGTAGAGGGTACATCATTGATTGATTTCTCCCAGGGAAAATAAAGTTAGAGCTAGTTGTCGGTTTGGTCAATTTTTGTCGGCTGGACCTCCCATTTCGCAGGCCTAAAATTTGAAAAGATGGAAGAGAACACAATTCTTGTAGAGCAGACAATTCTCTTTCGAATGGTATATGACTCGATGTAAAAGCATGGGGATTTAGATGAAAAATTTTTGGTTGAAAAAAAGCGACACTACTTATGAGACAACCTAATACTTAAGAAGGAAGTAACTTTCTTGCAACATATTTTTTTGAATTGTTGAGGTAGATTTGAACTGTGCCTGAGGTGCGCTTTCAGAAAACTACAAGGATTGCCTAACTCTCCGGAAAGTACTTCTGTTAGAAGTGGAAAACCCAAAATTCTAAGAAGGCGCACCTTCAACTTTGAAGGCCCATAAAATCTTTCGTATGCGACATTTTGGAAATCTGTAAAAAGTTTCAGAAACTTCAAATATTTCTCTAAAAAAGTATAAAAAGTTTAGTGATTGACCCCTTTTTCAAAAAATTGTCCCGTTCGAACATTTTCCGTGCAAAAGCGAGTTTTTGGGCTTTCAGCGGCCTTCTCTATCTCAAGGTGGAATGCGACTGAAATAGGGGAGGTCTCTGTACGGGGCGTAATCGGTGGTTTCGTTTGCTTTCCTTCTCTTTTACAGACCACCTCCCACCTCTAGCTTCATAACTGAACGCTTTTCCACACCTATTTTATCCCGAATCTTGCATTCAAAACCAACGTCCCGTGGTGGAACTTTTGAGTCACTGCGCTTGTAAGTGGAGGTGTGATGTGAAGTGGAATGCCAGCAATGAAAAACGGGAAGAAACTCTCGACAAGTACTAAAATAAAGGCTCTTCTCCGGTAGCAGCGAAGCAAAAAGCACTGATTTGTGGGCGTCATTTATGATGAATTCTTGGGCCTTAGCGCCTCACCTTGCTAAGTGGCACCAAGTGAGTACGTGTTTTACACTTGCTTTCCACTCCATAGGTCTCGCGTAAGAGCTTCATTCCATCCAAGAATCCCGAGCTTTGGCACCAGAAGCCTAGACGAGAAATCACTTCAAAAAGAGGGCGAGAGAGAAAAAAAGAGGGACCTCATATACCACTCATTACTGAGGCAGATGCACCGGTTGGCTCTCCCACAAGAGCGATGAACGTCAGCGGCTCAACCTTTCGCACCGGTAGTTGTGCTACAATCTGTGCCTTGGTGGAGTGCAATAGCTGAAAGTGACCCAAACCAGAGAGTATAGGCTTTTTTTCATTATGAGCTTCGCTGAGTCCATCGGAAGGTCAACAGGAATGCGCCGCTATCACCTGCGTGGTCTGCGGATCGGATGTCTATAGCACTCGAACCTTACACCCCTCCGGAATCGGCTGGATATCAGACTCATTTGTAAACGAATAAAAATGCATCCGAATAGTTTTCCTGATGGAGACAAACCGTATGCGACTAGAACGAGCTTCAAAACCTCTTTCAAGTAAAAGTTAGATGTTATACACCATGAAGGAAGTATTCAATGGCCTTCTTCGTTTCCAGAAGAAGGCAACCTGCTAATTAGGGACGTATTTTTATTTTATAGTTATTTTTCGACTATTTTTTAACATTCACTGTCACAGTGTGACTCGGATTGTGTCATTTTTTAAGATTTATTTATGTGGGTGGAAGAAATGTGATAGCAACAAATTGCATCGCTTAGCAAGCGCACGATCAGGGGACCAAAGCTTGGGATGTAAGCTGTCCAGGCTAGCCGAAGCTTTCCATCCTTTCGTGTCGGGTAATTAGTGCCAGCCTTGTCTGCGAGAATGAAAATTACCTAACTTGTAGAGCGACTGACCTTCAAACATCATTGCATAGGACAAACCGCATTCAAAACGTCACTATCAAGTAACCTCATTGGGTCCTAGGACAAACGCGCACTTCAACATCAAACTAACGATTTCCGTTGAAAGCAGGTGAGGCTGGCGGCAATAAACAAACGATAATGATCAATGCCTCACTATTTTACGCGCCTTCTATTCTTCTAACGTGAGGCGCAGCAAAAAATGACTGTTCGCATTGGCAATCCATTCAAATTGAGTCAAGAAGAATTCACACGGCAGTGGGGTGATGGTTTACGGTGGTTTACAAACTTCTCACTTAACTTCGCTGAGCTCGTGCTAACGTTAAAGGAATCTTCCACGGACCATGGACCAGTGGGCGGGACCGGAAGTGGTTTTGCGACGAAATGCATGGTAGGTACGGATCCACGTTCATGGGAAGGTTTGAAGTGAATCCTGTTCACGTTCGTGCGTTCGACACGTGGATCCGTACCTACCATGCATTTCGTCACAAAAACTTCCGGTCCCGCCCACTGGTCCATGGTCCGTGGAAGATTCCTTTTGCGCAATTCGCATGGAAAAATTTGACCTCGGCGACCTATCATGCCTCAAAGCTGGCGGGTCCGGCGATCTCCGCCCACCGATCATCTGATCACTCGCCGTAGTTCAATACGTGGTGATTAGATAGCTGAGAGAGCGTAGTGTTGAAGAGGGCACAGCGATGAGAGTCGCATCAATGCTCAAATCAACGGGCAAGGAAGGGGTCCATTTCTCGGGTTCTGGGCCGTTTCTCATGGTTCTTCCTTCTTTCGTGTACCACTCACCATCCCTAGGTTAATTTGAAATGGGTTGCTTTTTCATCGTGAATTCGTCCTTTAAGTGGTATCCGAGCGCGTCTTTTGCGGTTTACCCACCCAACCTCTACCCGTTACTGCTGGCTGCTATAGGACTAAACCGCAGTATAATTTGACGTCACTGCTTGGGAACAGCTTTGTGTGAGATTGCAGTCGCCTTGGTTAGCCCTACCAGCAGAATGAAGGCAGAAGGCTGTTCAATAAAAACGGAGCAATCACAGAATAGGCGGCAATGAGGCGATGGCATTGTGTGGATAGAGACGAGTGATCTTAGGCCACATGGGTGCGAAATCCCAACTGACCGGCCAGCGACCACCCGCCGCCGTCGCCGTCGTCGTCGCCGCCCCTGGCTGTCCGCCCTAACACCCTGGCCTACTACGACGGCGCGCATCTCAGTTCGGGCTATTTCAAACGTCGCTCGGCCATTATGTGCCACTCGACAACGAAGCCGCTGGCCACTGACTCAACGCTTTCACCTCCACGATTCTCAACACACACGCGAACTCATTCAATATTCAATCCAGCCAGGCGCCGCTCCCCGAATTCGCTCACATACTCATCCAAATCTCTTACATACCGCAGCATGGTGGCGTTTTTTTTTCGTCTGCATAAAAACTGAGCAGCAGGTGTTTGGACGTTTCATGAATGTGCCTTTGACGTGGGTGGGTGCTGCATGGATGGTTTCAGATCCGTGCGCTACAGCTGCTATAACGCTTGTGTTGGCCGACCGCCTCCATTCGCCTCCTCTCATTAACGCGGTTAGCCCCCAACATGGGAAATCGGGACGCACAGCGATGATTGGGCCTCTCCACACACATACATACACATGTTCACACATATTCATATCTCGTAGCGGTTCATCTCCTTAATGGGTCCTGTGGAAATCAAACTCTGCCTTAATCTTCCCACTGTACGACTTCTGTCATGTCAACCCGTTGACGCTTATCTGTCTGTCACCATAAGAAGTTGTGTTCGCTTTAGCACCGGATGAATCTTGTTATCGCCTCGTTACTACTGCTACTACTACGTCGTCGTTGTTGTTGTCAATGATGTCGTTGTTGGTTAAGGCGTGTGCGAAGTGCATTAGAGTTCGGTGGAAAACACGTTCAACGGGCCGACTAGCTGCAGCTAACTGGCGCATTTGGCCGTCAGTGTCGGTCGGTCGGTCGGTCGGTCGGGGTCGGTCGGTCGCATCGCCGACGACGTCGTGAACGTCCCAAGCTGCACGCCGTCGCTGTCGCCGGCGCCATCTTCGCCCCGACGGGCTACACCAATCAAATCCGGGTATGGCACAAATCGGAGAACGACTGAGGTAAGCGACAGACAATACTATCGAACAATTTAAACTACGGAATAGAAATTTAGGTATTTAGACGGGGTGCCATGCGACCACCGACGCCAGTCACTCCCAACCGGTTGACTGGTATCCTCTCACTAGCCGCGCGCGACGTTCGCCCGTAGCTTGCGCGGCGGTCGCGGACTGGGTGTTCCGGTGAAGCGCTATTTGGGACGAAAAGTCATGGAAGTCTCAGCACCGCGGCTTAGGCCTAGCAGCTGCTCCCCCACAAAAGCCGTGGCACACACCGATGCGGCAACGCATCCGGCCGGTTAAGCAATTACTAGAGATGAGGTGACACGCAACAATAACGCATACGCCCTACTACGAAGTAAATCTGACCGACCCCATTGAGGGCGATCAATAGGCTGGTGGCGCTTCTCTGCACGCTCTGGGCCGGCGACATATCGACTGCTCGTCTCTCCGCTCCGTCGCCGTCGTTGTCGCGCTCACGTTCGCTAGCCCTCCGTTCTCGAACCCGACATCCGGATAGAAGGTCTACCAGTTCAATCGTTCAACTCCGCCGAGAACAAATTCGTCATCCTCACTACGTTGTTTCATGTGTAAGTTTGTTAATATTACTATTGAACAACCCTTCGTAGAGGAGTAAAGTTTGCGTGAGCAGTGCGACAGGAAAAAAAACATCGGAGGGTTTTCGAACAGCGCCATTGTTAAACTGCGTACCCGTAGTGTCTCAGTAGTCATCAGTCGCTGTGGTATTTGTTCAGTACGAGTACGAATCACACTGTTTGATAACACGCTCGCTCGCCCCGTTTCGACGAATTCTTCCCAACCGATGATCTTTACCTATCCTGCTTATTTCGCAGTGTTTCCGAAGAGCTATGAGTTGGTTGTAAGTTTCATTTTTCGCCGTTTGATGTATGATTGTTGGGGCAAATGGACAGTTGTTGAGAATCAAGTCCGATCGAGTTACTTGTCAATGGCACCATCGATCAGATTCAGGGAGCTGCTCTGGTAGACTAGGTGAACCTCAGAAAGCGATCAATATCAGCGGAAAAGAAAGAATTTAGTTCAGTAATTGTGATAGCGGTGTTGTATCTACCTAATGCGTTGCTCTTGGAAGGGGTTCGTCGTAAGACCGACGGACACCTCACTTTTAAAACATCGGTCTCAGGACTTCTGTCAACCGTGAGGCTTGGCGGTTCAGCGTTTTGTAGTGATGTCTGGGAGCTCTCACAAGTGCACACTATCACAGCATCTCCTCTTTCTTTATCTCCTTCAAAAGGCTTAGTCCCAATAAGACACAAAGTGTGTGCTTTTCCAGCTACGCTCTCACCCTTTGGTTGACAGAAGCCTTGTAACCCAAAACATCTAAAGTAGATTTGGCTGGGAGATATCTACTGCTCTCGGGGAAAAGTGCTGATTTTACAAGTGGTTGCGCCTGTTTGTTATCTTAATCCGCTTTTAGAGATTATTAACGCTAGTTCGCGGCACATCAGTGATTATTTGTATGTGCGTCGGATGTGTGCTTGTATATCTCGCATTTATCTCCGAAATCTGTGTGGATACACGTGTGAGCGCGTATACACGTACGTGTGTGTATGTGTGCGTGGTGTTAAATGATACCGCAACAACCGGTCATCCCCCATCGAAGCGTATCAAGATAGGCGCAGCACACACACACACATTCACCACCCTCTAATTTCGTTGTGTTCGTTTTACCTCTGGTTGTTGACGGGCGCTGTGCGTCATGGCGACAATTACTACTCGACAATTGTGAGTTATCGAGATTTTCACTCGGCATTCGCCCTACAATCGCACACGAGTCCGTCTCCATGCTCAGTTCTCAATGGACTCCATGGGGCGTGTTGGATGCATATCCCAGTGTGCTCCCATGAGTCCGACTAGGTAATGCCTACTTGTACATATGAGTAATATTCAGCACAAGGGACTTTCGTACAAACACTTTCCCTACTATGCAAATGTCCGCTTAAGAATAGCGTAGAAAACTAATAACCCATCGCGGAACACCGTATTTTGTGTATCCACGCACTTTTTAACCATTTTTCTCAGCAATATTTAATACCTACCAGTGATCCGGTGAATAATTAGATGGGTCTCATCCAGTAAAGGGGGGGGGGGGCATGTGGTGCGACAGTTCATATTGCATGAAGAAATCCACTTTTTTCAGGGGAGGGAAGCTCCGGGGTGGGTGTAAAAGTTAAGCGAAATGGTTCACGCACCCGGGATTCCCTCCCCTTGCAAAAATTGGAATTTCTGTAGCCGACAAGAGCTGTCACATCATATGACTTTACTGGATGAGACCCAGGAAGATTTTTTGTTTTCTATTAGGTGGAGAGATATTCTACAAATCAACTAAAACGCTCTCCCCTCCTTGTGTACGCGTGATGCACATGAGCATCACGCGGTCTATAATGAGTTAATTTTTTGAATGATTCTTTTCAACTCTAATTATATCAATTTTGTACATCACTTGCGTCTTCCTTTCAAGTAGCAATTCTTTTGAAATTCCCAGCCCTTCAAGAAGTCATCGAAAATTAACACAATGCAAATTTATCTCGTGCACAAATCGTTTTGCAGTGCCATGTCAGGAAAGAGCGAGCTCGCTTCCCTTGTACTCTTTTTTATTCTGCTTGCATAAGTGCGTTGCGAGGCTGTTTATCAACGGTACCCGTCTTCAAAAACTAGTGAAGAACTTCTTGCTAAATGGTGTTTTTGTGTTCTCTTATGTCTGTGAGTTGTGGGCGTTCGTGGATGCAAAACGCATCTTCTATCTGGCAAAGTGTCGAATTTTGACGAGAAAAAGCCTTATTAGTAATGTTACGGAGGGGTCGTGTACTTGTGATTGGATGTACGTAGCCCGGAAATCGGAATTGTTGTTGTTGTATTGTAGGTGAAAGTGAACCTACTGTCCGGAGCCACTTTCATGCGTGTGTCTTAGCTCGCAATGTGAGCAAGTCTTCCTCCTTAATAGGCTAGAATCCTTCAAAAATAATGAGAAACTCAAATTAAAAGTGCTAATTTGATTAGATTCTGTAGAATACTGGTTTTCTAGAGGTTGCGTCTTATTCACAATTATTCCTCCTTCGATAATTCTTAAGCAAGAAGCACGGCCCGGCTTGCACGTAATTTCAGGGTTAATTTACCATGTATTTTGTCCCGTCGAGTCATGTCGAAGATTGACGTCACGTTTCGTCAAATTGTCACGGATCATCCCGAGCGCTTCTATTCAGCTCACATAAAAGAAGCTAACCACGGTATCGCGTAAAAAACCCGCGACTTGGGCGCTATTATCCCTAACAAAACAAGAATAGTTCTTCTTAAATTTTACTTGTTTTTTCGATGTTGTATTCACAGCCTCATACTATTCTTTTAGGATGCAACTAAATTACTTGAAAGGAGCTCGGCTTTCCGAAACAAGCACTGTTAAAATGTTATCAGTGTTAAAGGTGAGGCCATTGCTTCACACTTCTTTGTTTTAATTAATGTTGGCAGTTTTTCTCTTTTATCATTTTATCGTTTCTATTTTTTACCATTCTTTTGTTGTACCTGTCTTACAAGTAGTAAGCAAACAGCACGCAGCTCCGCATGCCCACACGCGGAGCGGTTAAGTGCCTTGGAAAACAAAAGAACACACTAATTTAGATGGTCGCGCAAAGATGACCCCACTTTAATCTATTACTGTCTTGATGGGGACGCGTGATGTTGACGGTAACGTGTTGCCATGTCTGTAACTTTTTGTTCGAATTATGGTCATTTTCTGATTTAATTTTGCGTACTTCGTGTTTGAAAGGAATTCGCTACTGCCGCAGTAGTACTGTACCTTGTTCCTATTTATAGCGACGGAAGCGATCCCCTCTGAGAACTACGGAGATTCGATTAGTAATTAGACTGTTTTAAGGGATACGGTATTAGAGTCATAGGAAAATCAAAAAAGTGAGCGGAGATTGTTTAATATGATTACTGTTTTTTTGCACTAGTCTTACGGTACGTGGAAAATGTTGCGACATTAAAGATCGAAGGCATATTCAATAAACTCAGCGATGAGACTAGGAAACGATTCACTGCGGCATGATGAGAGGCTATGGTTCGCGGCAATCAACTTGCAGCTATCATACTCTCCTAGACTTATTCCCCCATTGATTAGCTTTCAATGCATGGAAAATGGCATTAACCTGGCACGCTTTTCGAATATTTTTAAGGAGCTTTCTGGCTGATGAAAAGCTATAGCAAGATACGGGAACACTGCGGCGGCAATGCAAAAACTGCCTAAAACATCTACTTTTTGTTGGGATCAAGAGTAAGCCTCTTGCGGGGAAGAGAAACTTCAGGGAGCGTGAACAATTCTCATTTTCTTTTTGGTTCCTGCTCTCCTAGACTGAATCCTAGATGATGCCCCCGTATCTTGCGATTGCGCCCATTTTTAGTATAATGGTTACGGCAAAGTTGCGTATGTTGACGCTAGCCAGCTCTGGAAGACTAATATCTCGAGAAAGTTCTAGTTTTTCAAAATAAGCATTATGTGATACTTTCGTGTTTTTTTTAGCAGAGATATGTGTTATCTACTATCTTTACATCAGTGCCAATCACAACATCAACCAATAGAATCTAATTAGACTTCGCGGATGGGGTTTTCTTAGTGCTCTTGACGCTTCTCGATTTCGACTTCTTGGTAGCAGCAGGAGCGCTTTCCTTTTTGCTAGACTTTAGGAGCAGAGGCTTTTTCGGAGCTTTCTCCTTGGGGGCCGCTGGTGCCTTTGCTTTCTTCAATCTCGGCGTGGCAGCCTTCTTCCTTCGGTGCTACATCTTTCTTCTCCTCCGGCACAACGGCCTTCTCTTTAATCGGTGCAAGGTTCGCTTCCTTATCCGCCCTCTTCGCAACAGTCTTCTTAATTTATGGCGCTGCGGCCTCTTTCTCTCCAAGTTTGAAGCTCCCTGTAGCTCCAGTACCAGTGACTTGTTTCAGCTCTCCCTTTTCGACACCCTTTTTGAGCGCCATACGAATATTAGTATCAGTCTTGCTGAGGTTGTCTCCAAGCTGGTAATTCTGCACGTGATACCGGAGGATGGCAGCCTTCGATGGTCCGGTCCTGTCCTTCAGCTCTGCGATTGCCTTCTGCACCATTTCGGAATAGGGTGGGTGCATCGGGGCTGTCGTGCAACCCTCGGAACAGTCAATGGACCAGCAGCACCAACGTCAGTGGACATGTCGGAGGCAGTGTAAAAGTGACTAGTAAATCCGGGACAAATTTGAAGTTGGATGCTTCAGTACATCTTTAGTGCACAACCTTGTGGAGATATTATAATCCCTCTCGACGGCGATAACGCACGTTCTGAATTGCGGCGCTTATACTTATTTGTTCAGTCGGGGTTCTATTATAGTTGCCCTCCCCTTCAAAAAGCGAGAAAGTGTCGGGTGCAGACCATGCACCACAAGTGACGACGGCCTTCACAAAATGTTAATGTTTTCTGCCAATGAAATGATTAGCCTGTTGCAGTTATCGTTGTCACTAATTACAACTATCATTTACCAGAAATCAGCTATCACTATGAACAACTTCTAACCAGATTTACTTGGAGGCCGTCGTCAGTTGTGGTGTTTGGTCTGCACCCGACACTTTCTCGCTTTTTGAAGGGGAGGTTACAAAAGTGAAAAAGTGGTGGTATTCGGCCCTTACTACAGTGGCTGTTATTTCAGCGAATTCACGCAGATAGCCAACAGTGGGTTAGCTTCAACGTAGGTCGTAAACCTCAGAACAACTTCGGTTCGATAGTATAAAAGTTATTGGTCGTTAAGATCTTTGAACACCGTATACCATTACTCCTGAATTGTCATGGTGCAGCTCCAAAGGAATACATTCAGACTCGTGTGGATATGAATACGTGACTTTTTTGCGCAGCTACATATAAGAATTCGTGCAATACAGGCCAAGTTTGTGGTGGTATACGTTGTGATTTATGTGAGTGTTCAGTAGTTGAGTAGTCGATTTTTTACACTGATTTCAGGCATTGGCGCAATGTCACGTTATTTTGGGTTTGATTATGCTTATTCTGTCAACCTTGGCTGACTATGTCAGCAGCCGAATAAATACTATCCGTATGTATGGACTAGAAGAATGTTGCTCGTTCTACTTCATTGTTACCGGGTATGTTCATATTAATGATTATCATCTGTTATTCATCTCTTATAGAATTATTCAGGGTTGCAGGGGTTGTTGGGGTCTCATTCGCTAACGGGGGCATTGCGATATTTAGCGCTCAACGCCTTCGAAACGCAGATTTTCATTGTAAACGTTCAGGACTAAGGCTGGTGTCAGAGTCCGCGATCCGTCGCAGGTTTCGCTGATTTTCGCGATTTGCGCGAAACCTGCGACGGATCGCGGACTCTGACACCAGCCTAAGCTTTAACAGGGAGTGAGACTCTCATACCCGTGAGCAATGGCATTGGAGCAGACTGTACACCGCGATCCCCCTTTACCGAATGAGACCCAAATATCGGTCCGGGTGCTCACGTATTTTTTGCTTTTGACATTGTTTTTTTTTTGAAATTCAAATGTTTCTTTGCAGACTAGTGGGTTTATGTGGTGCAGCCTCATATAGAAGAGGGCTAGTAATTACGTTTCTTGTCATGTCAATCCATGCAATCATCATTTTTGTGCCGGCTATCATAATCGTGTCGAGCTTCGACATTCACTTTTATCAGGTTGGAATTCTGCAATTCATTATCGTTCTGTTATTCTGACCCACGACAGAGTGCTAGATTTTCCTTCTAGATGGTGTCAGTTTGTCAAGAAATCATGAAGTTTTTTTACCACCGATCATCTGATCACTCGCCGTAGTTCAATACGTGGCGAGTGATTAGATAGCTGAGAGAGCGTAGTGTTGAAGAGGGCACAGCGATGAGAGTCGCATCAATGCTCGAATCAACGGGCAAGGAAGGGGTACCATTTCTCGGGTTCTGGGCCGTTTCTCATGGTTCTTCCTTCTTTCGTGTACCACTCACCATCCCTAGGTTAATTTGAAATGGGTTGCTTTTTCATCGTGAATTCGTCCTTTAAAGGATCCGAGGCGTCTTTTGCGGTTTACCACCCAACCTCTACCCGTTACTGCTGGCTGCTATAGGACTAAACCGCAGTATAATTTGACGTCACTGCTTGGGAACAGCTTTGTGTGAAATTGCAGTCGCCTTGGTTAGCCCTACCAGCAGATTGAAGGCAGAAGGCTGTTCAATAAAAACGGAGCAATCACAGAAGGGGGAGGGCAAGCGCAATGAGCGATGGCATTGTGTGGATAGAGACGAGTGATCTTAGGCCACATGGGTGCGAAATCCCAACTGACCGGCCAGCGACCACCCGCCGCCGTCGCCGTCGTCGTCGCCGCCCCTGGCTGTCCGCCCTAACACCCTGGCCTACTACGACGGCGCGCATCTCAGTTCGGGCTATTTCAAACGTCGCTCGGCCATTATGTGCCACTCGACAACCGAAGCCGCTGGCCACTGACTCAACGCTTTCACCTCCACGATTCTCAACACACACGCGAACTCATTCAATATTCAATCCAGCCAGGCGCCGCTCCCCGAATTCGCTCACATACTCATCCAAATCTCTTACATACCGCAGCATGGTGGCGTTTTTTTTTTTCGTCTGCATAAAAACTGAGCAGCAGGTGTTTGGACGTTTCATGAATGTGCCTTTGACGTGGGTGGGTGCTGCATGGATGGTTTCAGATCCGTGCGCTACAGCTGCTATAACGCTTGTGTTGGCCGACCGCCTCCATTCGCCTCCTCTCATTAACGCGGTTAGCCCCCAACATGGGAAATCGGGACGCACAGCGATGATTGGGCCTCCACACACATACATACACATGTTCACACATATTCATATCTCGTAGCGGTTCATCTCCTTAATGGGTCCTGTGGAAATCAAACTCTGCCTTAATCTTCCCACTGTACGACTTCTGTCATGTCAACCCGTTGACGCTTATCTGTCTGTCACCATAAGAAGTTGTGTTCGCTTTAGCACCGGATGAATCTTGTTATCGCCTCGTTACTACTGCTACTACTACGTCGTCGTTGTTGTTGTCAATGATGTCGTTGTTGGTTAAGGCGTGTGCGAAGTGCATTAGAGTTCGGTGGAAAACACGTTCAACGGGCCGACTAGCTGCAGCTAACTGGCGCATTTGGCCGTCAGTGTCGGTCGGTCGGTCGGTCGGTCGGGGTCGGTCGGTCGCATCGCCGACGACGTCGTGAACGTCCCAAGCTGCACGCCGTCGCTGTCGCCGGCGCCATCTTCGCCCCGGCGGGCTACACCAATCAAATCCGGGTATGGCACAAATCGGAGAACGACTGAGGTAAGCGACAGACCATACTATCGAACAATTTAAACCGCGGAATAGAAGTTACGTATTTAGACCGGGGTGCAGCGACTCACTACACGGCAGTCACTCCCAACCGGTCCACTGGTATCTTCACTAGCCGCGCGCGACTGCCGTAGCTTGCGCGGCGGTCGCGGACTGGGTGTTCCGGTGAAGCGCTATTTGGGACGAAAAGTCATGGAAGTCTCAGCACCGCGGCTTAGGCCTAGCAGCTGCTCCCCACAAAAGCCGTGGCACACACCGATGCAGCAACGCATCCGGCCGGTTAAGCAATTACTAGAGATGAGGTGACACGCAACAATAACGCATACGCCCTACTACGAAGTAAATCTGACCGACCCCATTGAGGGCGATCAATAGGCTGGTGGCGCTTCTCTGCACGCTCTGGGCCGGCGACATATCGACTGCTCGTCTCTCCGCTCCGTCGCCGTCGTTGTCGCGCTCACGTTCGCTAGCCCTCCGTTCTCGAACCCGACATCCGGATAGAAGGTCTACCAGTTCAATCGTTCAACTCCGCCGAGAACAAATTCCTCATCCTCACTACGTTGTTTCATGTGTAAGTTTGTTAATATTACTATTGAAACAACCCTTTCGTAGAGGAGTAAAGTTTGCGTGAGCAGTGCGACAGGAAAAAAAAACATCGGAGGGTTTTCGAACAGCGCCATTGTTAAACTGCGTACCCGTAGTGTCTCAGTAGTCATCAGTCGCTGTGGTATTTGTTCAGTACGAGTACGAATCACACTGTTTGATAACACGCTCGCTCGCCCCGTTTCGACGAATTCTTCCCAACCGATGATCTTTACCTATCCTGCTTATTGCGGCAGTGGTTTCGAAAGAGACTATGAGTTGGCTTGGTAAGGTCATTTTTTACGGCCGTTTGAATGTATGATTGTTAGGGGCAAATGCCGACAGTTGTGGAGAGATCAGTCCCATCGAGTTACTGTCAATGGCACCATCGATCAGAATTCAGGGAGCTGCTCTGGTAGACTAGGTGAACCTCAGAAAGCGATCAATATCAGTGGGGAAAAGAAAGAATTTAGTTCAGTAATTGTGATAGAGGGGTTGTATCTACCTAATGCCGATTAGAGACATCTGAGAGAGAGTTACACAGATCAAGTAAAAAAAAAGAACAAGAAGAGCACACTCACTTTAAAAATCACACGAGATAAACTCAAAAAGAGAATTATCCTGTAAACGATAGAAGGCTTTGATCGGTTCAAGATAAGTATATTGAATAGTAGAATTAAAGTCAAGAAGAGAGAAATAATAAAAACAAAAGTGCACACTATCAGAATCTCATCTTCTTTAATATAATATAAAGAAAGATATTGGATTACACAAAAAATAAGAAACAAAGAAAAAGACAGTGTAGTATTAACAGCACGGGCTGCCCTTTGACTCACAAGACAAGCCTTGTAACCAAAAACATCTAAAGTAGATATTGCGCTGAGAGAGATCTACAATGCCTCTCGGAAAAAGAATGAAATGAAAAATATAAATACAAGTGGTATGCAGACAGAATGATAATAATGATAATAAATTCTATTAATACGCTTTAAGAGATATAATTAAACAGATAAGATTAGCGGCACATCACATAGAATATATATATAGAGAATATGTCGTCGGAATGTGTGCTTGTATTATCTCGCATTTATCCTAAAAGCTGGGTGATGAACGTGTGAGACGAGATAATACAACGAATAAACGAGAAATAGAAAAAGAGATGTGATAAGACAGGGTGATATAAAAAGAAATAAACCGGTACATCCACCATCGAGAACGTAATTCAACAGATAAGAAAGAACGAGACACACACACACAGCACCACCCTCTAAATTATAACAGATATAGATAAAGTATCAGAATATATAATACATATAGAATTGATTTGACGAAGATGTGAACGATAATGGACGAAATATAATAGGACTACACAATTATGAAGTTAATCGACGATTTTCAACTACAGAGAATATCGGCCCTACAATAGCAGAGAATACAGAAAATAAACTAACATAAGATACAGTAATATCAACTGGAATCAAAACAAAATAGGGACGCGCGTTGAGAATGCAATAATCCACAAGCTGTGCTCAACACATGAAGTCCGACATAAAGTAATGACCTACCTGTAAACAATATGAGTAACATTAATTCAGCACAAGCGACTTTCGTGACACAACACGATTCCCATCAACTAATAGCCAAAAATGTCCACTTAAGAAATTGTACGTAAGAAAACTAAATAACCTTACGCGAACACACGGTATAAAATTTGTGTAATCCACGACCACTAATTATTAAAACATTTTTACCAGCAAAATTATATAATAAAACCTACCAGTGATACACGAGTGAAAATAAATGACTGGGAATTCCATTACCAGTAAAGGGAAGGCGGAGAGGGGGCGGCCAATGATGAGTCGCGACAAAGTATCACACAATTGCATTTGAAAGAAAATCCACTTTTTCCAGAGGGAGTTAAAGACTCCAGAGAGTTAGGGAAATGTCAGAAAAGGTAAAAAGACGACAAAACGGTTCCCGCCACTCAGCGAAATTACACTACCCTTGCAAAAAATTAAGACTTCTGTAAGCAGAACAGAGGAGAACAAAGATAACATACAATATGAATATATACTTGGAAAATGAACCCGAAAGAAGAATTAATTGAAATTATGACATTGTGCAGAGATATTCTACAAATCAACTAAAACGCTCTCCCCTCCTTGTGTACGCGTGATGCACATGAGCATCACGCGGTCTATAATGAGTTAGTTTTTTGAATGATTCTTTTCAACTCTAATTGTATCAATTTTGTACATCACTTGCGTCTTCCTTTAAAGTAGCAATTCTTTTGAAATTCCCAGCCCTTCAAGAAGTCATCGAAAATTAACACAATGCAAATTTATCTCGTGCACAAATCGTTTTGCAGTGCCATGTCAGGAAAGAGCGAGCTCGCTTCCCTTGTACTCTTTTTTATTCTGCTTGCATAAGTGCGTTGCGAGGCTGTTTATCAACGGTACCCGTCTTCAAAAACTAGTGAAGAACTTCTTGCTAAATGGTGTTTTTGTGTTCTCTTATGTCTGTGAGTTGTGGGCGTTCGTGGATGCAAAACGCATCTTCTATCTGGCAAAGTGTCGAATTTTGACGAGAAAAAGCCTTATTAGTAATGTTACGGAGGGGTCGTGTACTTGTGATTGGATGTACGTAGCCGGAAATCGGAATTGTTGTTGTATTGTAGGTGAAAGTGAACCTACTGTCCGGAGCCACTTTCATGCGTGTGTCTTAGCTCGCAATGTGAGCAAGTCTTCCTCCTTAATAGGCTAGAATCCTTCAAAAATAATGAGAAACTCAAATTAAAAGTGCTAATTTGATTAGATTCTGTAGAATACTGGTTTTCTAGAGGTTGCGTCTTATTCACAATTATTCCTCCTTCGATAATTCTTAAGCAAGAAGCACGGCCCGGCTTGCACGTAATTTCAGGGTTAATTTACCATGTATTTTGTCCCGTCGAGTCATGTCGAAGATTGACGTCACGTTTCGTCAAATTGTCACGGATCATCCCGAGCGCTTCTATTCAGCTCACATAAAAGAAGCTAACCACGGTATCGCGTAAAAAACCCGCGACTTGGGCGCTATTATCCCTAACAAGAACAGTTCTTCTTAAATTTTACTTGTTTTTTCGATGTTGTATTCACAGCCTCATACTATTCTTTTAGGATGCAACTAAATTACTTGAAAGGAGCTCGGCTTTCCGAAACAAGCACTGTTAAAATGTTATCAGTGTTAAAGGTGAGGCCATTGCTTCACACTTCTTTGTTTTAATTAATGTTGGCAGTTTTTCTCTTTTATCATTTTATCGTTTCTATTTTTTACCATTCTTTTGTTGTACCTGTCTTACAAGTAGTAAGCAAACAGCACGCAGCTCCGCATGCCCACACGCGGAGCGGTTAAGTGCCTTGGAAAACAAAAGAACACACTAATTTAGATGGTCGCGCAAAGATGACCCCACTTTAATCTATTACTGTCTTGATGGGGACGCGTGATGTTGACGGTAACGTGTTGCCATGTCTGTAACTTTTTGTTCGAATTATGGTCATTTTCTGATTTAATTTTGCGTACTTCGTGTTTGAAAGGAATTCGCTACTGCCGCAGTAGTACTGTACCTTGTTCCTATTTATAGCGACGGAAGCGATCCCCTCTGAGAACTACGGAGATTCGATTAGTAATTAGACTGTTTTAAGGGATACGGTATTAGAGTCATAGGAAAATCAAAAAAGTGAGCGGAGATTGTTTAATATGATTACTGTTTTTTTGCACTAGTCTTACGGTACGTGGAAAATGTTGCGACATTAAAGATCGAAGGCATATTCAATAAACTCAGCGATGAGACTAGGAAACGATTCACTGCGGCATGATGAGAGGCTATGGGTTCGCGGCAATCAACTTGCAGCTATCATACTCTCCTAGACTTATTCCCCCATTGATTAGCTTTCAATGCATGGAAAATGGCATTAACCTGGCACGCTTTTCAAATATTTTAATTCTAAATGTTATAAAACACAAAGAGGCACCAAAATTTATTTCAAAAGAGTCCCAAAAGTTCGCAAAATATTCAAAAAACTCCAAAATTCCAAAAAACACGAAAAGTTTCAAAAAGAACTCTTTGAAATCTTCTGCTATATTTCGGTGTTTAACACCTTCTTCAGGCATGTGTATGCCTCAGCCAAGGATTTAGCTGCCCTTACGGGAGCCGCGCCGTTGGAGTGGAATTAAGTTTAATTTTGTAATACTTTTGGAAGTTTTTGGACTTAATTACAGCTTTCAATTCCACTGGAGTTTGTTCCTCTTCTTCAATTCGTTAGGCTGCTTTCATAGTTCGCATCGGTGCGGTCGGTGCCGACGGTGCCGACGGCGCCGACCGCACCGACAGTGTGAAGAGCGTCAACACGCGCTCTGGCGCATGACGCGTGCGCTGGGCGCAGATGGGGCGCTCCGGTCGATAATCTTGGTTTTGGTGTATTTCTTGTATTTTTTCGATGTTTTTTGCACTCACTTCATATGAATAAACAAAATTGCTTACGACCAACACACCCGGTATGGCCACATCCACCCGGAGTTGTGCGACGGGTTCACGACGTCGCTCGCCCGCGGAACAACTGGAAAGTATTAATCAAGACATAAAAGGGCGCAATGTGGCTCGGAGGGGGGCAGCCGCCGCGCGGGGCGTTGCGGCAACAGGAAATTCGCAAGCCAGGGGGAGTGTAGCCAATTCAGGGGGGGGGGGGGTGGGGGTGAGGGCAGTCACTTAGCATGCGTGAGAAGCTGAAATGTCCCGTGAAAAGCTGGAATGTTCGAGTTACACTACATCGCTGAGCCGCGCACCGACTTCCCCCCCCCCCCCCCCCCCCGAGCCACATTGCGCCCATAAAAGAATAAGTATGAACAGGAAACACACGAATTAAAGCAACACGGCGCGAAAAAAACATCGAAAAGCACAAGAAATACACCAAAACCAGGATTATCGATCGGAGCACGCGATCTGCGCCCAACGTTCGCGTCATGCGCCAGAGCGCGTATTGACGCTCTTCACACTGTCGGTGCGGTCGGCGCCGTCGGCACCGACCGCACCGATGCGAACTATGAAAGCAGCCTTAGTAGCTTTGTGAAGCAT